GCATTCCATTCATCACCCGTGGCACCACGGGTAGCATACTAGAAAGATGATAGGTAGTGTCTGCCGTGTTATACGTGATGGATTGGAGAAAATTTAAATGGAAAAAACTTGAATGGATATATAGCCATACATATTCGACATCTCCATTGGGTCCAATACTCCACACGTTTTACGAAACGCGCAATTAGAAAGGTCTCAAAAAGATTGATTGCTTCTCCGTTGAAGAATCTTAACATTTTCCAGCTTCTAGATCTACTTATATGAGAGCTTTTTAGTATCTCTATACGTCGTCATCAAGCGCTAATCATCTTACCGAACGCCTCCAATGCCAGGCGCTCCGACGTCTCCTACACCCCGCAGACCCCGCTGCAATTGTTTTCCATCCGCCCATTCAGCATGCAGGTATTCGTCATCCTCAGCCTCAGCTAGTCTTTTCAGCTCCTCTTGCCTTTTAAAGTAGTGTGCCAACATTGCCAACCTCTCTTCCTCCCTGACTACGGGCTCACGCACTGGAGGACCTTGGCCAGGCCCTGCTAGCTTGACAACAATCTTGGTCTTCTCATTGCGACAGCCACCCAATTGTTCTCCAACTGTTTTCTCACGCACGAATTTTTTCCCCATGGCCCACAGTCGTGCGGTTGTGGGGTCAAGACCCGAAAGGCTCCCATCCTGCTCAGGATTGTTAGCACTATTTGCCTTGTTCGCCTCACATGAAGAAAGAGCCTGGAGTAGGGTTGGAGACCTTCCACTTCTAATTACACGTGACATCTCGGCCAATACCACGTCTTTGGTGCCATCGCTTTGTTTCACGTTTTGGTTAAAAGACGTCGCCAGGGGAGACGAGACCGAAGGAGAGGCAGACTCGATAGCGCCATGGAAGTTGTCCAGTTGTTCTTGAAGCAGAGTGCGAGACATAGCGTGTTGTGGTTTTTTGGGTTTATTTACCTGTAAAGTTCCATCATCTCCAGTCTTTTTCTCCTCTTGACTTGTGCTGTTACTGCCTAAGTACGCTTCCGCATCAAACGCCACCCGAACTAGTACGTCCTTTCTAGGTGTGATGTCCTCGCTACTGTTGCTTCGCACGCCAAGCTCATCAGGCTCTTGAGGGATACTTTGCACCATATTGACGAGACGCTGCAAGAGTAGGCGGGCGTTCCACACCCATACCAAGTCCTGGATTAGGTCTTCATTTTTTGTTTCACATGTAGTCTCGTACAAAAACTCGTCTCCATCTGACCGTTTGACATGAAGTACCACCATATGGCTGATTAAAGAAGTAATTTATATTGTGCTGTGTCACGCAAAGCCTGTTGGTGTTGAGAAGATGGCAAAATTATCAAAAAAAATGGGGAAAAAAGCCTCCAAGATTTGTTCCGTAAACTTTTGGCGTTGGTCCCAGAGGGCGACAAAGGTTTTGCAGAATTCCTGCTATTCTTTTTCCCTACTAAGTATGTCATGGCTTGTGTTCAAAAAAATTGATTACTAACAAGACATTGACAACTTTGACACGGCTATCATGTTTGTGTGTGCGAGCTTCACACAAATTCTTTTGCCGAATGGGCCCATAGGAATAGTCTTTAACCTCCTCTCCTCTAAGCTTCTAACTTTCCATTCCTAAGAAATCGAACGGCTGAAAGCAGAACGAGCATCACGGTGCTCATGCAACCCGATACATTTATTAGTTTATTCATGATTTTTTTTTTCCCTTAGTAATTTACGTTTACTCGCCCTTATCGACCTCCCACAGGTGGCTTAGCTTCTGGGTGCGGGGTGGCAAGGAAAGAGGTGGACATCTGTCGTGTGCTTCGAGTCCTTGTATTGCCGCCAAGCCTACTCTGTGATTTACTCACGGGAATAGACTGAGTCGAGGTCCTGTCAGGCATTGTTCTCGGTCCTTCACAAAGAAGTTCACCTTCGTTGCTCATATGAGCACCGTTGGCTAGTACAGCCGAAGATGTAGCGGACATGGCCGCGGCGGGCTCTGCCGGGGTGTGAAATGAGTGCGATTGAGTATTTTTAGTACATTCCCGCGTCTCTGAGAACGGTAAGAGATGGGTCGCAGGGTTTCGGGGTGCTGAAGCGGACGCAGGCGCAAAAATTCTGTTCTCGGCCGCCTGTGAGGACTGGGCAGAAGAAGCAGCAGTACATGAATCTAGTAGCGCAGTAATCAGTGACACCCACAGCAAACGGCTTTGTGCGCTAGGTGCGCGGAAATTATACCGTGCCGTGTACGTGGCTCGATCCTCATCCCCAGGAAAGACGCTCAAGCCAGGATATTTGGCATCTAGCGCGGCACCAGAGGAGGCCCTTACGATAAGGTCAAAGCGTCGACCAGCCCACTGGGCATCGCTAGGGCATTCAATTTTCTCTAGCAAGCGCAAATCCAATGCGCCTTTCTCATGTAAAGGTATGCAGCCCCATGCTGCAGGGACGGAGCTTTGATAAAAGCGTATCTGCTGAGAGCCTGCGTAGAGCACTAGATGAAATGGGACCCAAGACATGAGTAGCCCCCCTAAGGAGCGAGACGGTGACCACAGTTCCATGTTTCCCTCGAGTAAGACCCGATTTTGCGCCCTGTTGTTGTTGGCCAATGCGCTCATCGCCTGGTCTTGAGCCATCTGGAGGAGGCTTTGCAAATGAGGGCGCGCCGTGCCGGAAAGCTGGTCGAGTCCCTCCATGACGCTTCGCAACGCGGGGTCTACGGGACGTGTGTCTTTATTTCTATCCCCTATTGCTCCTTTGCGCCAGTAGGTGTTACCCGTGGGGAGGGATGAAGAATTGCTGTCTCGAGGTACGAGCATTCCTCCCCATGACAGGCTCTCCTCAAAATGACCCGTGCGAGCTTCCTTCCGAAGAACGTTTGACCAAGCGCAGGTTTCCCTGTGTTTGTCTTCTGGCGTTCCTTCATCTTGGTTGGCTTGTAGAGAGCAGTGTTGCTTGGAGCGGCTACCCTGCCGCTTGGAAAGAGAGTAATTACGGTTCCATGAAAAGCTTCCACGTCCCTTTCGACGTGGGGAGGAGTCAGCAGCCCGTCGACGCTCGACTTCCAGGTCCTGCCTGGAGACGTTGCTCTCGGTGTAGGATGGAGAATACACTGCATCTCGTGCAGGCCGATGCTTCCGCGCCGGGGAACGCAAGGGAGATGCTGACCCTTGATTCCCTCGGTAGAATGTTCTGTCGTCCGGGAGACCGTCCACTTCTAGCCGCGACTTTGCCAAGGCCTCCGCCCAAGTCTCATGGCCTCGTTTGCTGATGATTGTCGTATGTTCCCCCTCCTCCTCTTCATCGTCATCCTCTTCTTCCTCCATTTTCTGCTGTTCTCGGCCCCATCGGATGCTTTTCCGGCTAGACCGTCCTCTCCTATTGTCAAGGGCTGAATGTGCAGGTTCATGGCTCCGTCGATAATATTTACTCGCTGCTCTCGAGGTATTTTTACCTCCCAAGCGAAAGAAATCCCGAATGCTTTGTGTAAGCTGTGGGCTTACGAAAGGGTGGTCAGAGTAAGAAGAGGGAGGGCTGCGGCCCTGATAGTGATCTCGACGCTTGGAGTGCGACCCGTGAGGGTAATGATGGTAATTGCGATTTCGGTGTCGTCTGTAGGCATAAGCCCTGTCCCTCTCGTCATCGCTACTGCTACTGCAGGACTCCCACTGACCACTGCTGCAGCTGCTACAGTCATACGCCACCCTTTTGTCTGCCCGGGGCACGTCCGCGTGCGCGAAGCGATTTGCTTTTTCGGCGCCTTTTGTCTTGTGACGAGAAGCGCCAGTCTTAAAGCAGTCGACGTGGGTTTTTATGTGATGGGTATGTGATGAATGGGGGGAAAGGTTTCGCCCCTCACGCGGGCTATTGCTACGTCGTGGGCTCGAATTGATGGTTCGATGGCGCGAACGTGTTGCACTCTCCTTCCTCTCCTCTGCTTCTACGTCGCCGCTATTTAATGGATAATGGTGATGTTGGTGGTCACGAGTGACTGCCGCCACATCCTCATTCTCCTCATCCTTATTGCCGGTAATATTACTGTCATGATGTGGCACAGCGGGTTCCTCCTCTGTCAAGTTCTCCCGTGGAGGAGACTGGCATAGTGGTGACTTGCGAGCCCTATACGCCTTTCCCTTGGGTATTTCAGACGACATCTGTCTCATCTGCTTCTTACTTTGCCATTTATAGATCGCAGCAGCCCTGTGATCGCTCTCAGCTTTCATGATTTCACACGTTACGAGGCGCTCGAATTCGTCTTGGGTGTAGCTTGTTTTGCCTAGACCTTCAAGTATCTGCACAAATTGCGATGCTCCAACCTCTAGACGTAACCAATGAACTAGAGTAGCAGTGTCCACTGTGCCGTCTGCTCTGCGACGGCACTTTTTAAAAGTCTCTAAAAGAGCTATGGGATCGCTGGCCTCCATTAGACAATGTCGACCCCTGCCGACCGTTTTATGTTTTTTTTTTCCTGAAAACAACGTAAGGGAAGAATGATTTTTCAATTTTTAATCTTTTTAAGAATATTGATAGTGGTCGCTGCGATGGAGTAAACTGAAATCTGTTGTGGCATTTGCTTTTTAACGCGGAGCCAAATTTGTTCCATGACAGGAATTTTCAAAGTAAGGAAGAAGAATACCAAAATGTCGTACGTAAGTCAGTTCAGGAATCAAAAATTCATATAAACTAACGAACAGATCCAAGCATCCGTGCGCGGTGTCGCGGTGGCGGTATATACGTAGGGCTGTAGGTGCGAAAAAAAGGACTTTTGGCTCTGCCTCCACATGGGCCATCATCGTTCGCCGTTGAGCTCCAATACGGCCGGAGGGATGGGATATTGACCTCCTCCCAGTCATGCTTTTGCAAATATATGTATGCATAACGACGCTATGGTAAACAATTCGTAAGGATATGTAGGAGCATTTCTTTAGATACACATTCCTGGCAGAGTGAAACAGGCAAATTCTGGGATCGACAAACGAGAAGAAAGGTGAAATGGTCGTTGGTTTTCAAGCACAACACACATTCTGTATCTCGTTTATTCTCTTTTTATAATAATTTACTTTCCTCTCCATTTTGCGTTGTGTCGATGCATCAACCTCTATTTATTCTTCATGTACATAGCAAGAATATTGAAGAGGCCGCACGCACAAAGCCTCCCAACGTGTGCCGCCGTGTACAGACAGCAAGCTGGGTTTTCCTCGGATCTTATAATATTTGCTAGGCCAGTCTCGAACATTTGAGCGACTTCCCAGAATCGAACTCTCGCTAATACTCGCTACAATTCTTGCATTCTGGTGATTCCACACTATCGTCCCCGACATTGTCTCGCCGCTTCTGTACCGCTCGTATCCTGCATTTCCTCCTCACTCTTTCTGCACTACCCATCGCGGGTTCCGCCTCGACCCGGCACGAGCCTTTATCCTCTCGCCCGTCCTTCCCGTCGCTAGATTCATCAACGTCTTGTTTCTCCTCAAGCACCCGAGGACCCAAGACCCCGCCCCTCCCCCTTCTCGGCGTCGACGTCCCACCCGTGGCCCTCGTTTCGAGAACACTGCCGGATGCACTTCCAACCAATCTTCCTCCGCTTCCTCCCAGGCCCCCCATCGACCTTCGTGCCCGCCCTCTCCCACTCCCTCTTCCACCTGCCACCGGAGGCAGGCCGGGAGATCCGTTTTCTTCGACGGCGTGGTCGGAGGCGCAGGAGAGAGGGTCTGTGTAGCTTCCACATGGTTCGAAGAGGTTTTGGATGAAGCAACGCCAGTCGGGCCCGCCAGCCGGGCGACACCGGAGGAGAGAGGGGATGAAGACGAGGAGGAAAATGTAAAGGAAGACGGGGAGGACGGGGGGGAGGAGGGGCCCGCAGTGCTCGAATCGGGTTTTTCGGTGCTTCCTCCGGATTCGGAGACTGGTCTGGTCGTGGAGGAAGGAAGAGATCGGGCTGCAACCTCCTTTCCCATTCTTGTTCCTGGAGCGGCTAGCTTGGTGCCCGTCGAAGAAGAGAGCTCCGCCGTGGTCTTCTCGTCCCCTCCCACCGTCCCGGAAAGCGCGGGGTGCTCCGACAAACCCATGACTTCCTCCTCCTTCGTTTCCTCCCGGTCTGTCTCCCTGTCTTCCTTCTTCCGCTCCGCCCACATTTTCTCCGCCTTGACCAGCACGTCCACACAGGCATTCCACCCCATTTGCCGGGCCATTTGGGAAGGAGTGTGCCGCGGCCAAGACGTGGCTGGAATCGTAGGGTCCGCCCCGGCCTGCACTAGGCGATCGAGGATATGGCGATGCCCCGTGCCTGCCGCTTCATACAGGGCTGTCCAGCCAAACCTAAGGAGTGAGAAAGAAGGGGAGTGCGTGGATTAAAGGGGTGCCCGCACAGCGAAGCTTTTGTTGTCTTCCTACTCCCGACGAAAGCGTCAGCAAGAGAAAGCAGCTGTTCATCTCTTGGTATTCGCCATGCGATAGACGTTCACATACCTATTACGAGCGTTCATGTTCAACCCCTCCTGCGCTAACAGCCACTGCACTACTTTAAATGACCCCTTACGGGCCGCCAAGATGAGAGGAGTGTTGCCTTCATGATCCAGCGGAGCATTCAGTGTATTATCAACACCTTGCTTCCGCAAAAGCTTGGTGAGGGCGGGAAGGTCCCCTTTTCGGACTAGCTCCTCCCGGCTTGGCTTGCGGGACAGCAAAGAGAGGAATAGGCCCTGTTTCTTGTTTTTGCCTGACATGGGAACCGGCGCTTTTTTGTAGCTTGGCCACCACGGAGGATATTGCCAACCTCACACGGGCGCCAGTGCAACTTTGTCTCAAATGCGTGGTGATTAGCTCAACAGATGCGCCTTTCTGAATAAGTGATTTTGGGATGGTAATGATACTACGTGGTTAATCTTATTAGTGGCAATGCCAACGCATCGATTGCCTGGCAGAGTAAACTATTCTTGCGCGTGGCGTGCCCAAATTTCATGCCAAGACCAAGAAGGGGGGCGCCTTCTCGCGTGAATGGTATAATGGTTCGATTTGACGGAGGCTGGGGCTGGTACTTGTGGACGGGTCGGTAGCACAGCTCGCTCCTCCCGCCGGATTCGTTACTTTCCCCGCGGCAATCCCCTGCTCAGTCACGCATTTTCACAGGCACCTTCGCGTTTGTCGGGCTTAGATGATCACTTAGACGTACATAATTACTTCTTTAGTACTGGGGAAAGCAACACGTATGGGATTGACCCTTCACCCTAATTCGGCTTTATTTAACTGAAAAGCAACAAGTGCAGCCCAAGACTCGGATGTCGAGCATGTCGTACCCCGTGCTCAATCGCCCCTTCTATATCCGACGTAGTTTTTACGAGCTCTCTATTTTTGCGAAGATGAGGCACCTTTCGGTCTTCTCACGAGTTATTTTGACCCAAAACTGTCATCTCATGCCCACCGTTCTCGTGTTTTTCGGGCGTGTTTGTCATGCTTTTCGCCCCTGCTTCAAAAGCGTCCATCACCATTCCCATGTCACCCGCTGCTTTTTCAGCCAGCCCCCGGAAAGCTCCTCCTTTCTTTTTCAGCAAATTCTGTTAGAAGGGAGGGAAAATTGGTCACGGGCGTGTGCGTCGGAATAAGCGACGAAATATGAGCACTTTTGTGAGCCTCAACAAGCAAAGTACAATTCCTATCATTACCCTGCTCGAGCAGGCTGTTGCGAGTTGTTTACGCACCAGTGGTGTATCGAATTCAACAACTGTTCCGGCATCCAACACAGCGATTCGATCGTAATCCACCAGGGTAAAAATCCGGTGAGCAATGGTAAGGAGTGTGGCACCTATGCGCGTACGGGGAGTGAGAAAACCTCGTGAGTCCCGTACATTTCGTCAACAAAAAGGGCGCAGTAAAGATGAAAGCTCGGAAAGGAAGTCTCTCTCATCCGTGTTCCAGAGTTGCCAGTATTCTACTTTTCCATCGACCCCATAACCAACCTCTGAATTGAGTCCTGATAGTTTCTTGAATCAGGCGGTCCGTCTCTGCGTCCACTGTGTAGCGTTGTCGCGAAGCATGTTCAGTGTGGGTATGGGGAGGAAACGACGCATGTATGAGTGAAAAAGAGATGTCATCCTTCAACGTGTCTAGATGATAGCATGTGCAGGCAGGGAGATGAGACGGCCGTGTACGCGTCCGAATGCCCGCATGAAGATTCTCCAAGAGGATGGACAACGCATGGAGGGATACAGGTAGGCCGAAACGGTAGGACATGGCATAATGGGCAATAAGCAAACAGAGAAATCTTGCAGGCTCCTGGGTACCAGCGTACTCTCAAAGTACCGCAAATGGTCACCTCGACTACCTCTACCGCCGTACGAGATTAAAAGAATTTCTAGACCAAAGAAACAGCCGTGACTCATCGCTGGACTCCTTTCTCCATCCTTTCTCCTCGCCTTCCTCCCTTCCTACCAGCACTCGTTGCCTCGTCAAGGAGAAGTACACGGGAATGCCTCAGCAGTGCCCGCGCCATACAGAGAAGTTGTCGCTCGCCAAGGCTAAAGTTCTTCCCTCCCTCCTCCACCTCGGACAAAAGGCCCTGTGTCGTGAGGAACAAAGTGTTGAAACCAAAAAGAGAGAGGAAAGGAGAAAAGAATAATGAAAAGACGCGGTCCCGTCAGAGATCTTTGTCATATTCATGCCAAAATAGCGCGCCAGAGCTTCCCCTGCTTCCTCCTCATTTCTGTCCTATGCCGCTATTCCGCTCGGTCTTGCTGTCTCCCTTTCTCTACATCCGTTTTTCAAAAGGCTCGGCAAGAATGCCCGTCTCCTTTGTTTCCTGCTCGCCTTTCTGATTGTTGCCCTTACCCTACCCCTGCGCTTACCTGAGGCAGGCGGCGTACTTGAGCAGCCAAATGCGCACGCTCCAAGGCCCTCCAGATGTCATTATCGGAGTACTGGTCGAACGGGTCCAAATTGAAACGCACGGAACCCGTGAAGAGGACAGGGTCCTAGACAGAGGCGGGGAAGCAAGGAGGGGGAAAGAAGGATAAGGGATGGAAGGTGAAGGATCATAGGAGGAAAAATGTTCCCAAAATAGTAGTAAAGACAAGTCCACCTCTCTAATTTGACGCCCTATTCGCCTCCATGATTTCCTCAGCGTGGATTGTAAAGTCTCGAAGGACCTTGGTCTCTCCCCTGAAAATTTTCCTTCGTTCTTCGTGCCCCCCGTCCCGCTCTCTTTCCCCCTTTCCAACCTGGGGGATGATACTGAATCGGCTACGAAGGTCTTCGGTTCCCATTTCTCGCGTGTTGAGACCGTCCACTTCGATGGAACCGCTCTCCGCCTCCACGAGTCGAAGGAGGGCGAGAAGGAGCGAGGACTTTCCAGCACCAGTACTGTGGGAGAGGGGGATAAAATGGGGATAAAAAGGGGGTTGAGTGGAGGTGAGGGGGAAAATAAACTACAAACGCACAGGGCGAAAAAGACGCACCGTCCGACAATGCCAATGCGCTCGCCAGGATTGATGTCCAAAGAGAGGTTCCTGTGTCAATGTCAGAAAGCATTCAGTTGAGGATCGTCACACTCCATCTCGCATTGATGAAAAATGGCGCCAAGCATCTGTCCCGCCCCCCACCCATTCATCATCCATCTCACCGTAACACCAAGGGCAAGCCTGGCCTGTACGACAAACACAGGTTCTTGATGGCAACCTTCCCTGCTTGGGGCCATCCCGGGGGGGGGCGCTTCCCTTCGATCAATGCAGGGGCTTCGGAAGGGACCTCACTGTATTCCTGGATGCGTTCCACGGCTAGAGGTGGTAAAAAGGATGGAAGGAGGAAAGAGGAGATCGAACAAAATCAAAAGGGGTACTCTTCGTCGAGGTGTGGATGACTGATGGCTCAGGTGCCCAAAAATCATTTTTCTCTCCCCTTGCCCCTTGTTTGCTTCCTCTCCTCTCTCTCCCCAACGCTGCTTACCGACGATGTTCGTCTCCACCTCGCTGGTCATGCGCACCATCCAGTTCAGGGTCTGTGTTATAGAAAGCGCGTAGGAAATCGAGAGACCACCCTTGCCAGCCGTCACACCTGAGTTAGGGTGGAAAGAGAGGAGAAAAAAATGGGGAGGAATGGTAGATTTGAACGAAAAGAAAGTTGATTCGACATCTTATGATGGCATGGCGAGATTCTGGAGCTCACAAGATCACCTCCACGACGGATTCCATTCCTATCGCAATCCCTACCTCTTCCCTTCCCTACCTACCGTGGTCCCTGCCCAGAATGGAGAAAATGCCAGCCAGAGAGACGATGCAGGCGCCCACAAACTCGAGCCGCATCGCCAGCCATCGATTTGAGGAGATGTACATGTAATAAGCCTAGAATGGACGAGGCAGAGGAAGGAAGAGAGAGTGAAAGGGAGAACCATAATGAGCGATAGCTCCTAAACGCGGAGCTATTGGTTTCGGGACAAAGGCGACGGAAGTAGGCATCACATGTCTTGTCCCACCCCTCCATTTGTTCCATCGTTCCCTACTGTCATTTATTACAAATAACACAAGCCTTCCTAGCTTCCTGCCCTTTTTTCTGGCCTCCCTTACTTCTCCTCTTCCCACCCTCACCTGCAAATTATAATCAACCCTCTTCTCATTATCTTTGATGAACATGAACTGCGCTCGGAAGGCGCGAATGGTGCTTGTCCCCTCCAAAGAAGCCCCGAAATGTGAGAAAATTGGAGAACGCGAGACAGAATCCAACCGCTTCAGTTCACTGGGATAGCATCAAGGGGAAGTTTAAAGTGTAAGTAGTATGTTGCCAAGCACCCACACCTGGTCTCTCAACCCCCTCCTCCCCCCGTTTCTTCTCTCTGTTCCTCCCTTCTTACCGTGAAGACGGCACGTAGTAATTTTGCGCGAAGTAGTAGAGCATAAATGGCGGAACCACGGCCGGAAGAAACCAGCCGTTGACCGTCGCAATCACGATGATGGTCCCTTGAATGGGTGGGAAGAAGAAAAGGAGGAACAGAGCACGCGAGTAAATTTAGGGGGGAATTCGCGGTCGCCACGCGCGAGTCACTTGTCAACTTAAAAGCCCTGCATGTGCCCCCTCGCTTTTCCAGCCTCCCTCGACCTACCCAAGACGCCGGTCATGCACTGGAGGTACATGTAGATGGAGGGCATCAGAGTCTCGTCCACCGTGTCTAAAAGGCGAGGAGAGGGTTGTATGAGGAAAAAAAAGGCATGAGCAAGTCCATTCCAGCATCTCTCGCTTTCGCTGGCAGAATTTTCCCCTCCATTCCTCGGTTCTCTCCCTCTTTCTCTCGGTCCCCTTGTGTTCCTCGACCCCCGATATCTCATCCAGCTTCCCGTCCCCTCTCCCTCCCTCCTAGTATCCTCTGTCGATTACGCACAGGTGTCTTTCGAGAAGCGATTAAGAATGCGGCCCAAGGGTGTGGTGTCAAAGAATGCCTGCGCATCGGTAGAAAGAGAGGGTGAAGGGGAGAGACAGAATGGGATGGATGCGCGAGATAAGTAGAAATCAATCGTTGGAAACACCCCCTTCTCCTCCTTTTTCATTTCTCTCGTCAAATATGAGCATCTCTCCCCCTCCCTTCCTACCATGGGCGCCCTCATCAAACACCCCAAGATCCCCTCGTGGAACACGCGCGCGGCCCGCATCCCTGCCAACGTGAATGAAAGGAGCGTGAAGACAATCACCACCGCAGAGAGGCTGCACAGGATCGCGTAGATGCTCAGTCCGTGCTCGGCCTGTGGGATCAAAAAAGGCAAAGGAACGAAAGGGGAAAGTTGAGCAGGCAATGCACCCAAAGTGTGTGCAGTACAGCTGCATTGCATCCTCTCTCCTTCCTTCCCTCCCTCCCTCGGATACCT